TCCAACTATAATGGCTCCGCAGCCATTGTGCTGAACAATGATTTGCCGCTCGGAGAGCGAACGGCAAACCAACCCCACTTTACCTGATTGTCAACTTTTGTTGCCGCCAGATAGCGGCAGTGCAGCAGATTTAATTTGTACCAACATAAATTTAACAATCAAGTAAACAATGGTCGGTTTATCGCGATGTTCAGATTTTGACTTTATGGCGAGCAGTTAGGTGGAAATCGGGGCTAATAAACGAAAATATATGGAAGAGCATTGTTGGACGCGCCATTATAGTTATATCTGTATTCCGCAGATTTAATGGGTCCGCAATGTTCGTCATTTTTCGATTTAATTGAAAGGAAACTTTGGAAATTGATACTGTTTGCCACTATTGTCAGACTGCTTTGGGCTTTCAACTGAATGTTATTCGCATGATGCACTAGATGTATTGCCTTTAATTATCGCTGTTTTTTGCATGTTGCCATGTTGAATATCCATCAGTTGTTATGAAATTGTATTGGCTTCCGGGCGAATCTCTCAGGTGCATGATATCATGGAATAAACATGGAAATAAAAAAATAGGTGAGATATTATTTTGATATCTATTTCCTAACGACACCAGGAATATCCAACGTGCACCGTCAGAACAACAATGGACATCAATTTGAACAATTCGATGAATAAGTTACTGAATAATTTCGAAATTTCAATTGTTTTAGTAAATATTCAATCAGGCGCTTATTCTAAATTATGAACTTTTTTTACTATTTATTTGTTGCTATCAGGTAACTAAGTTTTGTGGTTTGTTAGTTAATTATAGTTGGTATTGTTTTTGTCCTCTTCTTGAAAGAATCAAAGGAAATTATCCTTCAATTGGACCTTATTTTATATTATGTAAAATCCATCCAATCTGTTAAAAATTCAATGTTTTTGTGATTTAGGTGCACTTTTGGAATTCATCATACATTACATATCACTCTGTAGGGATAATAAGGACTTCAATGAGCTGATAAAATACAGGGTGATCCATTCAAAAAATCATCAAGTTTGAGTCGCATCTCCAAAACCATACCCCGAAAAAAAAATTGAGTGCGCCACTGGATTCTGCCTAAAATCCTCTATGGGCTGAGATTTAAATTCAACATTTTTGCTGAGAAACTTCGTAGATATAGAGGGGTCTAAAAAAGCATAAATTTTCAAAATCGTCCTGTATCTCAAAAACGGAAACAGTTATGCAAAATCTGATAAGGCCATCTTGAGTTTCACAAAAAAATGGCACAGGTTCTATCTCCAAAGATAACTGAGATATCACGCTGAAGCAACGAAAACTGGACACACTGTACAGGGTGACAACGAAAACTGAAAAACGCTCCGACCCGTCGATTTTTGATTCAAGGGAGTAAGATTTGTCTGCCTTCTTCATCTCCGTAACTTCAACCCCCTACCAGGTGAGCACAACCCCTGGATATTGAAAAGGGATGAGGGGTGAGCGATATCTCGTTTTGTAGGAGTCGAAAAGTATTTATTTTTTGTCACAAAAAAGTTTCTGGACGCACTATTTGTTGGATTTACCTCAGTTCATCGTGAATATTTAGCAACGTTTTAACCGTGTCAAATCTATCGTTGAATAATCACGATGAACTGAGGTAAATCCTACTCTAATAAGGACAATATTTTCGGGGAATATTCGACTTTGCCTCTTCCAGTATTTTACCTCTCATTTCGTTATCGATGAAAATATTGACGCGAAATTAGAGGTTCGGATAGTACCCAATGAAATCTTCAAAATAAGGTATCTCAACACCCCTCATCCCAATTCAAAATCCAGTGGTTATGCAATTCCCTGGTAGAGGGTTGAAGTGGGTAGGTTGCGTTCGCCCAAAATTCGATTCTGCATAAGGAAGGAGCCTACCTTTTTCAAACTACCTAACCTAGCCTAACCTACCTAACTAGGCCTAAATGAACTTTCTTCCTAGAAAGTATATTTTTCGCTTGTGAGAACATAAGAGAGTCCTTTTCAAAAACAATCTAACCTCACTCGGCCTAAGTGAATAATCTAACCTTAATCTGCCCGAATGAACTTTCCTAAAAAGTATATTTCTCGGAAAATTACTTGAAAATTGGGCGAATCCATAATTGGGTAAATCAAAAATTGGGTGATTCGAAAATAGGGCGAAATCGACAAATCCGAGCGTTTTTCCGGAATTTCGTTGGACCACCCTGTATAGTGCGATTGTTAGTAATTTGTGAAGATAATGATAAAGATAAATGGGCAGCTATATGGATCGAAAATCGGGCAGATTACAAACTAATCCATTTTCACACGCATCCGGTTCGGAAAACATTGATTTGAACGTAAAATATCGAGCACATTCAGATGTTACATTGGCGGAATAAATAGAGCCCAATCAGCTTCAATAGAGCAGCTCCCATTAAACCGGACCGAGTTAATCCATATGCAATGACAAACGGTTCCAATATGCGATTATTCATTACTTACACGCTGTGCTGTACACGGTCTCTCATTATATTCAATTGACCTGTCACTCTTAACTCATTTCGTGTGCCTCACCAGAGACCTGCTTTCATTTGACTTTTTTCTTTCATCGTTGGACACCGACACTTAGCATGGTTTGCTGGTTGCGCTTTGAATGAATGCTTATGCTTAGGAAGTTGTTGCATGCTAGTTTACGATGGTTGCAGGGCATTCGAAAAAGCATGTGCATGGTTGTTGGCTGCCAGTAGTGCTTGTCATAATATTTCCGAGACGTATAAATTGTTGGGGCGCAGTATAAGGTAGAACTGCTACGTTGGCTACAATATTGGTCTCTATAGGATATAGGCCAATCACTGTAGCAAAGATGGAGTAAAAATAGCAAAACATTCCAAATTTTCACAGAAGTTGTATTTACCAACTGTCACTGAGAACTAAGAAGTTTCAAGACAAATAGGAGTTTGCTATTCAAATAACCATTTTTAATGTTGAAAACGAGAGCAGATTCTCTCCCGAAACGTACAAAGATAAGTGACAATTTGATATATTTTTTCTATGTACCCTTATTTCTCTTCTACAAACCTTTTTCGATACAAATTGTCACTGACAAGCTAGTGAATTTTCCTTTTAGGCTCTCTGATAGGAAAATTCTTTAAACGCACTGACATTTTGGGGCAAATCATCTGATTTTTCCTTACTACACGTATATTGAAATCATATTCATATTTTTATTTTATAGAAACGAGGGGAGAAAATATAAAAAAATATGGAATAATGAATGTACCACCTCCTCGATTAACCTATAGGCAGTATTTGATTATGGCAAAGACGAAACGTCGGTTTGAAAATCCAATAACACCATCTTGTAGAACAGAAAAAGTAGCAATAAGAATGTGGAAGTTGTTTTGTTACATCTATCCAAATAGAGTAATTAAAAAATGAAATCTCGTATATTCGGTGTTTTCAAAAACTCTTTGTATATAAGTATTCGGAATCTTCGAATTTCGAAAAGGAATTTTTTTAGGCATAAAATTTCATAGCTTTGCCATAATTTAATCGACCCTGTATCTCTTACGCTTTACGATATCCCAATGATGAGGTTCGAGGTGAGAATATGCGGTAAATGGTTCATTCCATCATTTTCTTTCAAAATGCGAATACTCAAATTTTCCTAAAAACGGAGCTATTCGAAATTTTTCAAATTTCGGAACGGAATTTTGTTACGCATAAAATTGCACGACTTAGTCATAATCTCGGTCATAATTCAACCTATCTTGTATCTCTTACGCTACACGATATCCCAATTATGATGCTCGAATTCCAGCCACCCTTTACTGGGAAAAAACTGTCTTCCTTCGTATCCATGACAATATCAACCTTCCGTTCACTACCAATAACTCACCTGTGATTGCACACATTCTATTGAAATTCAAAACTAGGTAGCACTAATATCCACCATTAGAACACTAAAATCAAAAGCCAATTGCCGATCCCACACCCTAGCTCTCATTCCAAGGTGACAGCTACTGTTGCAAATTGGCGCCCAACGTGGGGTCCGATCGATTAATGATAAACGCTGGATTGAGCGGTGAGAATATGCGGTAAATGGTGAGTTCGTTCCATTTTTTTGATTCTAATTGCGAATAATCGGTTTTTACAAGAAATCTTTGAAAGTATTCGGAATTTATCAAATTTCGAAACGGAATTTTGTTGAAATTGCACAACTTTTCCATAATTTAGCCGACCCTGTATCTCTTACTCCAGTCACCCTTTACTGGGAAAAAAACTGTCTTCCTTCGTAGCCATGACAATATCAACCTTCCGTTCACTAGCAAACTCACCTGTGATTACACTGCGAACACGCGAAGCACTCCAAATGGTACACGTTACTTGAACTGGATTGAGCGATGATAATATGCGGTATATGGAGTTCACCCCATTATTTTTATTATGACTATTCGGTTTTTACAATAGATCTCTGGAAGTATTCGGCTACGGCTGTTAAACTTCTAACTTCCAATATTATATTTGTTTGAACATCACAGCCTACTGATGTTGAACTTGTTATTTCCGATAAATGTGAGAAAAAAAATCAATGTTTTTTTTATTTTGTCACACTCTAAAACTGAATCACTTAACCTTTTTCTGTTTCCTAAAAAATCATATAGTTTGTTTTCTGTTTTGTTTCTAGTAAAATTCGAAACTAGGTGGCGCCCATATTCAGCATAGAACCCTCAAACCAGAAGCCAATCGCCGATTCCACACCCTAGGCCTGATTCCAAGGTGGCAGCTACTGTTGAAAATTGGCGCCCAACGTGGGGCTTTGATCGACAAAACATAAAAGCTGGATTGAGTGGTGAGAATATGCGGTGAATGGTGAGTTCCTTCCATTAGTTTCTTTCTAATTACGAATATTCGTTTTTTTCTAAAAAGCTTAGGAAGTATTCGGAGTTTTTGAAATTTCGAAACGATCATGTAGCCATGACAATATCAACCTTCTGTTCACTAGCAAACTCACCTGTGATTGCACTGCTGACACGCGAAGCACTCCAAATGGTACACGTTACTCCTCGCACGCATCACCATCTCGAAGGCCGGTATGACCTTGGAGCAGGCCGCGCAGTATCCCGTGTTGCCGAACAGCCGCAGGTAGTCCCTTTTGCACAGGATCAGGTTGGCCTTGGTGTACAGGGTGGAGCCCACCTCGCCCAGCCGGCAGTCGCAGCAGCCGCACTTGAGGCAGTCCTCGTGCCAGAAGAGGTCGAGCGCCTTGAGGAGGAAGCGCTCGGTGATGGGTTTGAGGCAGCCCGCGCACTCTTGGGGAGATTGGCCAGGGCCGGGCTTGGCCGCCTCCGTTTTGGACACGTCCATGGTCATCATGGGGCCGTTAGGCCTCGACTTTATCTGGAACGGAAATAATAATTGATCTTATGTAGAAGTCCATACTTTTCTCTTAGTCGAGTGTAGTGATGAGAGGGTTAGAAAACACAAAATCATCTCCACAACGTTTAATTTTATTATTAGGGGAACATATAGTGGACCGTCATGTGTCCATCATCAGCCTTTTGGTTTGTGAGGATAAGGGCTGATGATGGACACATGAAAAATCCCACACTTTTTTTTTATTGAAATTTTGGCAGTTTGACCAGGGAATATGAAAATATCATCATTGTTACTTGAGAATGATACTCTAGTTTAGTTTCGATAGCACCCACCATTTTCGAGATATATCGATTTTAATACTGTCTGCGAAGCAAAATAGTGCTTTTTCGTTATAATAAAATATCAATGTATAACCCGAATATCTATAATATACTAAGAATAAAATGAGCTCCATATCCTGTAAGGAGATAACAGTGGCTTCTGACTTCCTGCTATGAAGATATCGTAATACTATTTCAGATATCATTCAACAGACTATCTTGGAACCTTGACAAAGGACGCCACAAAAACCATAATAACCATAATAATTTTTGATCAATATGGAATTGTGACATTTTTACAGTCTATCTAATCATTTGATAAGTTAAAAACCATTTTTTGAAATTGAATTACCGTTTTTACCATAGCTTTATTCAGTGTAATAGAATGCGATATATCAATTATTTCCATCATATATATTCTCCACATGTCTTTCTAATGCTTTATATACCATCAACCTCAACAAGGAGTTGTTTTTCACGAAAAACAATAAAAAACAATTTCCGAGAAATATGAAAGTTGTATTTGGAAGTGGATTGAAACTCTTTCTAGTTGATTACAGCAGTCAATTTGGATAATGGGCAGATGTTTGATATATGCAGGGCTTTCTAAGTGTATTAAAGATAGTGATAGGACATAGTATTGATGACGACGACCACATACAGTGACGTACCCCGATAATTTTTCATGAAATAGGTATTAATGTACCAAGGAAGAAAAACTGCCTATAATAGTCGAATCTGAAAATTTATAGCCGATGCCTTAGCGGAGGATATACAGGATAGAGATTCTGAGTATTTCTGAATATTCCAGATTTCAGTTGATGACCCGTCTGTTGAAAGAAATTGTCTGAAAAATTCTTGATTCGAATTTTCATAATATTGCGGATTTCTGAAAAACACTACGAAAGATTTTTGCGTCAATGATTTTCAAGATTTGCACATACCAGTCATTGCGAAGAATTCATTCTCAAATTAATACATTTGTTGCCACGGTTTCACGTGTAGTATAAATTAATCATTTCCCAACAAATTCAATGAAAGTTTGAGGAAAATTTGAAATACTTCATTTTGGTTGCCTGTTCATCAACTATGAAAATTCCATATCACAGTTTACTAAAACCTTATACAGGGTGAAATTTTTGATATGAACCAAATGGGCAGAATTTCTCAAGACCAGTCCTGGATTTTTACAATTCTGGATACGTCAGTCGATTGCTGAGTGACAGCATAATAATCCATGAGAAAATGAAAAGAATCAAAATAACTGTTGGAAAGTTATGATTGAAAGAAGTTTTGGCCATATCCCATAAATCAACCTATAGATTATTTTAGAAGAGGCGGAGACACTTCCTGATGGTCATTTGGTATTCCCTTCAGGTGCCTCTATTCGTAGTAGGAGCATGTACAGTTCCTCATGACTCACCCTGTACCAATCAGGCGAGAAAATAGACAGTTTTTCGCCGAGGTGCATATTACATTATTTCGTCGAAACACTTATATCCACATCTCGATCACACGTTAAAACTATCAGATTTCGTGAGAAACAATAATAAATTTGACAACAGCAAATGACACTTGTTGTCAACACACTCTCCGCGCGGACCAGGGTTGCCAGTTCGATCTTTATTTCATCAGTAAATACCTTGTCAAAAATTCAGATCTATTTTATGCTATATGAATTCCAAGGAAGGATAATTGAAAAAATCTATGACGTCGAAACATTAAGTACTTTTAGTAAACAGAAAAGTAATCTATTTCCAACATAATAGAAACAAACAAAATGAACAATCTCATGAAAAAATTATTATATTCCTGATTCTCAATTTGAAAATACTCAAAAGTATTAAGAGAGGATTTCGGGAACCTAGTTCTAGTTGTATTAAACTGGCTCAGCCAACGCTTTGTGTTTTTGAGAACATAATATGACAACTTTACTGTCAACATTTGGTAAACAATCATACCCGATAGCTCATTTTATGCAGAATAGGGTGACGTTAATTTATCTGAGTACATGAAAAACAGGAACGAATAGTGAAAATGAACAACAAAAATACAAGTGCCTATTCCGAAATACTATTGATGCTTTCTGAAATACAAGTTACAGGTGACTATTCTGAAATACAATTGACGCTTTCAGAACTGCAACTGGAAAATGTGTAGTCCAACTGATATTTTCGGAAATTTATTAGGTATTTTGTGGTGTATATGTAACGCCGCTGAAATGGTCGCGGTCCATTTTATTATTGCAATCCTCAATCGTGTTATTCTTATTTCCAATATAGTAATGGCCAATCCTTGTTTGTCAAACCGTTTACATGGAGCTACCAATAAACCACATCACTTTCAGAATCAGCACTCATCTCGTTATGGTAATTGTATGTTGGACCAGAAATAACCTGTATTTTCAGTTTTACTTGTATCTTGATAATAAACAAAGTGAAATAATATAATTATATTCATTTTTTTCCATAGATTCGTCTGAAATTGTCATGTCAAAATGGGGTTCCTGATGTGAATGATTTATTGTTTTGAAATTAATATCTTATATATTTCGAGTCGATAAAGATATGCATTTGTATGTATATTTCGTAGTATTCATTTTTCAGAAATCTACATATTCGAAGGGATAATACGTTGAATCCTGTACTTGCCAATGAACAAGAAGTCCACCAGAATGTGAAAAATCGGTATCTCATGTTGCTCTATGAGATTTAATACAATATCAATCACTCGTATAAACTTATTATAACTGGTTTGATTGGAGAAATTTTTAGAATTTGTGAAATTTTTATATCACTGCTTGATTCTTTTCAGTAATCGGTTAGTAGCCGTATATCTAAGTAGTAGTAGTGGTATTGTGGGGAGGCTGTAGCCAGGCAAGTAGGCCCTTATGTGCCCTTTTTGCCAACCCCTGCTCTCCACATATCTATACATCCCCTTTTTAGTTGTCCTTTTCGAACCTTCCCGTCCTTCTGATGGAGGTCAGGATGTCCGTCCACTCTAATTCGACTGAATCTTGCTGTTGTAGTTTATCTACTCCAAAGATTTCGAATATCATCCTTCCATACGCCTCACACTCTCCAAGGAAGTGAAGTGACGTCTCCTCATCTTCTCCGCATTCACGGCAAGTGGGACTATCTTCCACACCTATGAGTGATAGGTGTCTGCGTAACCTGTTGTGCCCTGTCAGTACCCCTATAAGAAGGCGCAGAACTTGGCGATCCCTGCCCAGTAACCAAGCCGTCTTTGGCTTGCTCGGACCAGCCACCAGGTCTCTCGATTGCCTGCAGCCGCCTATACGCCTCCAATATCCAATATCCTTCTAGTGCCTCGTCCGCCCATTTGCTAAGGGCAGGCGAAGTTTGGCTTCTTGTTATGCCCAGTGCAGGCTCCGATCCCCAGAACGGTGTCGCGGATCCGATTCTAGTCAGCTCGTCGGCCACCTCGTTCCCGGGCACCCCCCTGTGACCCGGAAACCATACTAGTTCGACTTCCTTCTGTTCAGCTAGTTTCTCAAGAACATCGCCACATTCCTGCACCAAAGCTGAGCTTGGTTTAGGATGGCAGATAGATCTGAGAGCCGCCTGACTATCCGAGCAGATGTAAATCTTCTGCTCTGGTCCCTCTTTCACCTCTTGCCTCTCCGATACTGTCAGAATGGCAAAGACCTCAGCTTGGAAAACTGTGGTATACTTTCCAAGAGCTTAGCTCTCCCTTATGCCTATTCCTTCTAGGTAAATTCCTGCACCTGTGTCCTGTGGCCGTTTATCTAAAATGAATGTCAAATAATAGGAGTCTGAAACTTACTCATATAACCTTGCTTAATATTATCTGCCACAATTCAAATTCTGTTCCAAAAGTTCAGACACCCTTCAAATAATCGTTCGGTATTACGTAATTGAACACTAGGGCCTGGAACGCAGACCACCTTCCTCCTTCCCAAAGCCAACCCTGTCAATTAGTTAATTATATTTCACTTCCAAGACCGAGAAGATCGAAAACCGGCTCAATTAACTAAAGTACCCGATTACAAATTCAATATCTGCAGTTGCAGAATCGATTAACAGAATTCATAATCAATCTTGCCATACTAATAATTATATTTGGAAGAGATCAAAGGAGACTCGACTCGTAATCAACGGTGCCAATTATGAGTAGCGCTACTGGCGGCTACAAAATCAATCAAAAAACTAATTGAAAGCTTACTCGTCCCCCGAAATCCTTTTATGTAATGTATAACGTCTATGGCTATCTTTGTCAGACAACAGTGCTATCTTTGTCCCGTCAAGGGCTGCATGAAAAACGAGTAAAACCATAGTTGAACTATCGATGGACCACTATGACTGACATTTCCACACAATATAATGAAGAATAGTCGTAGAGTAGCATATTTGCAAGACGAAGAATGTATTTTCGAGTTATCCAGAGAGTCTCTCTCCTAAAAATGCCAAATTGTCTTTAGATTGTAGCCAGGTTAACGCTTTGCAACAGCAGACCGGTTTCAAACTTTTGGCCCTCGTCAGTGTAAGGTTACCAGACAGGAGTCCTAAGACCGCCATCTAAGCGAAACTTGACCCAGTACCCAATGAAAATCCCATTCGCATCAATACGCTCAGAGACTGGCATCATGGAAAAACGACATCTAGAGCAACAAAAAAACACTCCAAAACTGGAATTCCTACCTCGATGAGAAATGGCAAT